TTACTTAATATTTAAAGTATATCCCAAAAAATAAGGTAACTAATATTTTTATTTACCTTTTTTCATGTATAGTTGATTGACTGCTATGTTATTACAATTTGAATTTGTTATGGCTGCTATTAAAAATTATTTTATTCTAAACTTTAGACATATTGAGTTAAGTAATATATGAAATAGTCTATATGCATAGATAATATATACTTTGTTATGGTATGGACTTTATGATCATTATTACTTTTAGTAACAAAAAATAAAAAAGATAGAAATAAACAAAGAATAAGTTTAAAAAGATTAAAATTAGGGATAATTGCAGAAACCTCCCCTGAGGTTTCTGACATTTGCACTGACCTCCCCTGAGGTTACTAATCCTTTGCAAATTTAGTCTAAATGATTAAAATATTATTTTAGGGAGTGAAATTAGAATTTTGTACCAGATTTGCCATTTGTGCTACATATTCTGTGAGAACCCGAAAATTTCTTTATTTCTAGGCTTTATTTTATTTATTTGCACGCTTTTTATGCATTTTCTTTATTGGAAAATTTTCTAAATAATTTTTATGAGTAAATATAGTTTTTAGGTGATTTTTCTAGTATCGATTAGTTTTTGAGAAATTAAGAGCGTCTACCGGACATGGGACCCGCTAGTACGAAAAGTTCGAAAAAATATGGCCAACTAGGTTAAGATTTGGATATTGGGTTTAATTTACCGGGTGTTATGAGATAATTAGAGATTACCAAGTGGATTGGTGTGAGAGGAACAAGAAGATAACCATGCCTTGACTAAAAGTGACAAGTGTCACTTGGAGGTTGATTTCACTTTTTGACCACTATTTATTCTTTTACCAATAAATCAAAAATTGACCCAAAAATCCCTCAAATTTGCAAGCTTGAAGCTGGCTCTCTCCAAGGAAGAAAGGAAGGAAAACTCTCCAAATTCCTAGCTCTATTCTTGCTCAAATCCACCAAAACAACCATTTAATCTTACATTTGTTCCATAAAACCCCTTCACTTAGTGATTGTGAGGTGATTGGTGGAGTTGTTTGGAAGGCTAAGGTGGTTAGTTGCTCCTTCTCTTGCATTACAAGGTGAGAAGCTAAGGGACTTCTCTTTTCTTTCCAATAATGCTTAATTAGTGACCTTTGTAAGTTGAAGTTATGATATTAGGTGTTATTTTGTGATTTTTGGTTGAAATTGGTGAAGTTTTATATTTATTTGTGATTTTTCTGTTTTCATATGATTATTATTCTGTGGCTATGTATGATGATTGGAAATGATATTGAAGGAAGCTAGAAGGTGGAAAGTGTGGTTAATTGCAGAAAATTTCTGTTTTGGAAGGAAATTGTGGAAACTAGGGTTTCATTTCCCCTCATTCTGCCTGGCACTGTTCATCATAGTTAGAGGCCGAATTGGCCTTGGGTTAAAACATGAAAGTTGTAGGGAATGATATTTTAGAGTTTCCTGCAAAATTTCAGGTCAATCGGAGTAGCGTAGCTTGTGAAACTACCAAAATACCCCTGCTTCCCTGTTTCTACCCGAACTTGATAATGGCTTCTGTAATTGGTTATTTTGGTTGGGAATACTTCTGATTTGGTTGTTGACGTATTCTTAAGAAATGTAGCCTGATGTCTTAGCTTTCGGGTGGCTTTGGAATCACTTGATTTGGACTTAGGTAGCCTGACTTATGATGTTTGAGCCAGAATGCGGTTTATAAACCTGTTTTGACGGTGCTGGTTTGGTATATTGATCTTTTGACCTAGTTTCACTACAAACTGGATTGAGTGGCCTTCTTCAACATTGTAGCCCTACCTCTTAGTTTCGAAACGGTGTGTATTGCACCTCCATCCGATAATCGTAGTGCCAATGGTGCCAAAACCGCAAAATGATGTCAAAAACTGTTTTTATGGTTGAGAGCTTAATTCCATTTCCGGATTTCCCTGGTTTACTCTAGTGCTTATACATTCTTATGGAGCCCTATTTTGGTAGTATGTGGAATTGGTTTATGACTTGTCGTCGAGTCTTATTGTGCTTATTTGAATATTTTAGGGCGTGACAGTGAGTAAAGACGCTCTTTGGGCGGAAGTTTACGAAATTTCACTTGCTTGCTTGGTGAGTATACTACTCACTTGTTTGTTTACAATGTGACTTTATTATATTGAATTTGATGCCTTGAAGGCTTATTTGCACTATTGAAACTGATTAAAATGAGGGTGTACTTGATCGCCCTCACCCCCTTTTGTATTATATACGACTGTCTACTGTTTCACTGTGGTACTTGAAATGCACATGGAAAACTGGATTTGGTGTCGTTTGGACGAGGATCTAACGGCTTTTACTGTTACCACTGAGCTCAACCCCATTGGTAGTCGATTGAATCGAGCCAACGAGGGCTTGGTCGTGAAAGTTGACGAGCCATGGGGACTGTTATATGGAATCTTGTAGTAGAGAGACTCTTGATTCCGGTATACTCGAGTATTACCAAATTTCTACTGTTTAGAGTTCGGGCCCGGTAGGGGTATGTTGGGTGGAAAGAATGGACGTAAAGTGGAGCCTACGGTTGGTTACTCTTAAACATTGACGGAGGGTCAATGAGATCCGATCAAGAATGCAAGCGAGGAAAGGGGCTCTTGAGAGCCACCCGTATCCTTTTATCACCACTATTGATATGTGCCTTTGCTTACTTTTGATGTATTGGAATGAGAAACTTGATACTTATATGAACTTTGCTGCTTGAGTGATAGTATATCACTGGGCGTAAGCTCACTCTGTTCCTTTTGTTTTCCTTACAGGAAATTGATTACTTTTGGAAAGTCCATGAATGTTGGTTGCCGAGTTGAGCTTATGTAAATGAAATTTTGAATAGCTCCTTTTGAGCAAACTCTAAGTGCATTTTGGATCCAACCAAAACTGCTAAGTTGTAATTTGCAAACCGTACTTGTATAAACTTGTTGGACAACTTGGGTATGTCCTTTTGGTATGTAAATGCTAAATTTCAAGATGTATATATTTGATTGATGTTTGGTTGGATTTTGACGTGTCGGTTACTATTCATGGCCGACTCCGTTTTCATTTTTTTATTTTATTTTATTTTGACTTGTCTAAGCGTGCTTGTATGTTCCGGAACTTTTAAACCGTATTGAATTGTCCCGTTAGTCCTGGCGAGAGTTGGGCAGGCAGTCCGCTAACCCCTTTGGTTCGCCTTAGGAGAAGGTGGGGCTGTCACATATTCAATGACTAACAAAGTATTATAAATCAATTAACAATTAATAAACTTTAATGAGTATAATTTATGGGCAAACATACATTACTCATTTAAAGTACCGATTTTTTATGGGTATTTTACTTTCAAACATTTAATTTATGATAAATATATCAATATTTGTAAGTAAAATTCAAAAAGTGTTACAGTAATATTCTTGCAAAAAGGAAATCTGTAGGTTATTTATTTAATATAAATTAAATATTTTTTTTAAAAAAGAAATGACCCATAAAGTATTAATTTTTTATGGCTTTCATCCATTACATGAGTAAAATATTCGCTCTTTATGTGCATTTTATTCTGAATCATTTAATTTATGTTAAATACATAAATGTTTGTAACTAAAATTGAAAAAGTGTTATATTAATATTTTTACGGAAGAGAGGTTGGTGGGTTTTGTATTTAACAAAAATTAAATATTTGAAAGTAAATACAAATCTGTATTTGAGCGTAAATATTTGTATTAAATTAAATGTTTGAAAGTAAAATACTCGTAAAGAACCAGTACTTTAAATAGTTACCGGCTCTTTATGGGCAAACACGCATTACTCATTTAAAGTACAGGCTTTTTACGGATACTTTACTTTCAAACATTTAATTTATAATAAATATATCAATGTTTATAAATAAAATTTAAAAAGTGTTACAGTAATATTCTTGCAAAAATGAAATCGGTAGGTTATTTATTTAATATAAATTAAATATTTTTTTAAAAAAAGAAATGGCCCATAAAGTATTAATTCTTTATGGCTTTCATCCATTAAATGAGTAAAGTATTGGCTCTTTATGGGCATTTTATTGTGAATCATATAATTTATGTTAAATACATAAATGTTTGTAATTAAAATTGAAAAAGTGTTATATTAATATTTTTACGGAAGAAAGATTGGTAGTTTTTATATTTAACAAAAATTAAATATTTGAAAGTAAATACAAATATGTATTTGAGCGTAAATATTTGTATTAAATTAAATGTTTAAAAGTAAAATACCCATAAAGAGCCGGTACTTTAAATAGGTAATGCGTATTTGCCTATAAACTATACTCCTTAAAGTTTATTAATTGTTAATTGATTTGTAGTATTTTGTCATTCATTGGACATGTAGTACAAAGGACAAATTTGATAAAAAATTCTAATTTCACTCCCTAAAACAATATTTTAATCGTTTGGACTGAATTTGCAAAGGATTAGTAACCTCAGGGGAGGTCAGTGTAATTTTTCAAATCACAGGGGAGGTCAGTGCAAATGTCAGAAACCTCAGGGGAGGTTTCTGCAATTATCCCTTAAAATTAATATATAGATAATAATAGCAAAGAAAAGAAAGTAGTTGATTGTATGAGAGAAAGGAGAAAATATAAATATACACACACACACATACATACATACATACATACATACATGTTTAAGGGACAAGTAAAAAAAGGATAAAAAAGAAAAAATATAATAATAATTAATAAAGAATGGGCACTTTTGTCCTACAACGTGAACTAGGAGGTAAAGTGTCTATTTATTGAATTGAGGGCGGTAAAGTGCAACTGAGAATAAAGTCAAGGGGGATTTAATGCTTTTAATCCACATATTTTCTTACATGCAAGTCAACAATAACATCCGTGGACAGTAGCCAACAATTAGGCCACCCATGGCTATAACTGGAGGAGAAGAATTTTCATGAAGTCTGTTAAATGAATAAAAATTTGGAGTTCGGACACTTACAGAAGTGTTTACACGAATGCATTATTGCAGTTACGGGGAAAAAAAAACGATGAGGTACTTGCATCGTTTGATGGTGTCCAAACCCTATAAATATGCACTCATGAGTGTGCAGCTAAATATACCAAACCACCCTTTCAGCTAGGTAATTCTGCTGCCCACAATGGCATTAATCTCTTCCCCAAGGGCTGCTGTGGCCATCCTCATTCTCTTCGCCATTTTTCTCACTCCAAAGCTGATGTTACCATGCGAGGCAACAAGACCAACCCGAGGTATCATGTGCCTAATAAAAAATTACTAGAACCCAATCTTGATCAATATATTCAAATTGTTCATGAACAAAATAATTTGACCTGTATGTGTTAGGAAATTGGCTTGTTTGATATCAATTTTTGATGTCTTAATAGCCGTTTGTTTCGCGCTTGAATCCCAACATTATCATAATCTGTTTCTGTGTTATTTGATTTGGTTTTGAATGCAGAACTTCTGGTGCGACCCCCAATCTGTCCTCGCTGTGTTTGTTGCGCACCACCACCCTCTCCAGGCAGATGCTGCCCCTGTGTCTGTTCCCCGCCTTGGGGCCCTATTGCACCTGTTGCTGAACCAAATTCACCATGACTTCTTGAGGGCATAAGTTTGTTAAATTTGCTACACGTGTAGGATTGTACGTGCTTTCTAACTTGTGAATGTATGAATATGAACTTCTTATTATTGAGATTATGTTAAAGTGATGTATGTGCTTTACAAATGAATAAGTGGGTTTCGTTGTCATTTTGCATATACTTTTACTTTGCTTAACATAAGTAGATATCTTGTTTCACAACAATGAGTCAAGGTTTATTCTTGTATACAGTGTATACAAGATTAACCCAAGAGTTAAATGAAAGTAAATATTTTGATGGCAACTTTGCGTTCGCTGCTTGTCATCGAAAATCACATTATACACATTAAGTAGGTCTACAAAAAAGAAGAGAAGAGGAAAAAGAACGAAAGAAGATTAACATCTGCTGCGAATTTAATAAATTAAAGGAAACTAGAAGTTGTGAACTAAAACTATCCATCTCCAATCAACGAGAATTCTACAACCCTCATAATATTTTGACAGTGCAGTAACTATATACATTTTTTTAATGAAAATATTGATAGGGAAAAGTATCTCGAGAGAGCCCATCTCGAGATAGTGGGATTTAATCAGTTTGGTGTAGATGGGGCACCAAATCGAACTGAAAAATAGTAGTCATTAATTGTGATTGGTACTTACGATTTATGAGGATAAACATTTCTTTCTCTTAAAACTTTATGTACACTTCGTTCCTTGAAGAAAGATTATTTGACCGAACCGTTAGATAAACGTCACGATCATTACATCATGGCAATCTCATGAACAAAATAGGAAAAGTAGTGGGTAATTTTCCTTTTCCCTCATACTAAAATTTTTGAAAAAGAACAAAATTAGTCAAGTGAATGGTGTTACAAGTAGTACCTCCAAGCCCAAATTGAGATCTTTTGCTCTCATGTTTGTCTGGTAATTCTTTTTTTCATCCTGGTAAGGTGTCATTGACTTGCTATTGTTGTGATTAATTGAATTCATCTTTGCCTTGTTTGGTTCATTATAGTATTATTGTTTAAATTTGTGAAAATCATGATCCACATTGTTTGACTCACGTGACGATTAATAAATTGTACCGTCTTTATAGTATGTCTTGTCATTTCATGCTCTTTTTTTTTTTTCAAAAGTAAATTCTAGTGAAAAGTTCACTTGCAAAATCAATAAAAAATTTAATGAAAAAGTTTAGTTATCTAAACTCTAGAGATCATTAAATATCTATACGTACATACACATACATAGGATGACCAAGGACAAGTGTGATATTTTTTTTTTTTTTTGTCGCAACGATAGATTGAAGGACAAGTGTGGTTGAAATTTTTGTATGGTCATACGGTTGTTATATTTCTTATACATTAGTGTATTAGTATCTAATTTTATTATTCTCGTAAGTTTTATTTGTGCAAATCAATTTAATGTATAAATAAATCTAATTGTTAAATATACACTAAATTTTGAAAAAAGACAACAATCACACACATCTGCACCAAATACAACCGTAACGTAACTGGCTAGTTATATATAACATGACTTTAGACTCGGTAGAACTAGTAATTTTTGGGAGGACATGGACCTTCTTTTGAACATGGCAGGAGCTGAGTTTTGATCTTCTTTAGATCAGCAAGAACATCATGCATATTGCTTCTCTCCCTTGGAGATTCCCTTGTGCAATTCAAAGCCAGTTTCATGATTGATGAAATGCAGTCTAACTTTTCATGATTGGACCTCAGCAGATTAGCATCTACAACATGAACCAGTCCATCTGGCATAGAATCACTCACCCAACTCTTCAGGCTCAAATTTTCGCCAAACATTTCGTCACTGGGACTTTTTCTTGTAAAGACTTCCATAATCGTGATTCCAAAACTGTAGACATCGCATTTTGTTGATACTAGTCCTTCCAGTCCATACTCTACAAACAAAAATAGTAATCCAAATGATTTGGAATTTGGGATTTCCAAGATTAACTGCAAGGCAAAAAAGCAGAGTGGCTATACCAAGAAGAAGCTTTACCTGGAGCAAGATAGCCAAGTGTGGCTAATGTTTTGGTGTACGTAATGCTATCCTCATGCCCCAGCAACTTTGTAACACCAAAATCAGTCACATGGGCAACCATATCGTGATCTAGGAGCACATTACCGGGCTTCACATCACAATGAACCACTGGAATCGAATAACCGTAGTGCAGATATTGCAGTGCACATGCCACATCAATCAATATGTCTAATCTCTGCATGACTTCTAGAAAATAGTTGTGGGAGTACAACCATTTCTCAAGGCTTCCGTTGGGCATAAACTCAAGCACTAATGCTTTGAAGTCTCTATTTGAGCAGCTGCTAATGACTTTTGTCAGATTTCGATGACGAAGATTGCGCAATACTTCACATTCTGCATCGAAACTATTGAATGCTCCTTCTTGTTGCAGTTTAAACACTTTAACAGCAACAATCCTCCCATCGTCAAGGGTGCCTTTATAAACTGATCCAAAACTTCCTGTGCCCAACAAATTGCTCTCATCATACCCGTCAGTTGCTTGTAGAAGTTTGTAATACGAGATTCTTTCCTCGGTTGCAACTGACGATAGAACCCCTTCACTAGGAACTTGTTCTTTCTTTGCGCGTTTAAGATACAGGAATCCCACAAATATGGCAACTGCCACTGATATAAATGCTCCAAGGGCAGCGGATATGGTTCGACGCAACTTTTTGGTCCTCAATCGACCACTTGAAGTACTTGGACATGAGGGAACGTGGAACCTAGGTCCTCCACAAAGTGCTTCATTTGAAATGAAAGATTCTGCAGTGAAGTTTGAAAAAGGGCCCTTGGATGGTATTTCACCTCTTAACTTGTTGTAAGAGGCATTGAAGTAAACAAGAGACCGAAGGTTCTCTAGTGACATTGGAATCGTACCTGTGAGATGATTGTGTGAAAGATCCAACCATTCCAAACTCAAAGTCGTGCCAATTGACACTGGGATTGATCCTTCCAATCTGTTGTATGCCAATAAAAGGTTCTGCAAGTTCACCATATCTCCGATGGAGCTAGGAATACCACCTGAAATCTCATTGATTGACAAATCAATAGAAATTGCTGCCTTTAAGTTCCTAATCTCAGGAGGTAAACTTCCACGCAGTGAGTTTGAGGAGAGGTTAAGCACCAACAAATCTTTTAGGTTCCATACAGTGGTAGGCACACTAGAGCTTAACGCGTTGGAATCTAGGTACAGGTATCTCAAAGAAGTAACATTTCCTATGCACGCCGGAATGGATCCTGATATTTGATTTGCTCCCAAATATATTTCGGCCAAGTTTTGCAGAACGCATAGATAATCAAGGGAGTTTTTGCTCAACTTGTTGTCGTGAAGATCTAACCCTTGAAGGTTTTCCAAATTTTTCATGGTAATTGGCGGCATCCCACTTAACTGATTAGTGAACAGACTTAAAATGATCAGGCTACTCAAGTTGCCAATTTCATCCGGAATGCTGCCCCTTAAGTGGCAATTGTATGCAGAAAGTTGTTGAAGCGAAGTTGAAAGATTGCCAATAGAATTTGGAAGAAAGCCGTTAAGCGGATTTTCACTCACGATAAGTATTCTCAAATGTTTGCAATTTGCCAAGGAATTGATCCAGCTCAGCTCTGAACTAGATGAAGAGTAGTCACTCGTTAAATTGTTGGCTCCTAGAGATAGAATTTCTAGGAGTCTTAGATCCCCAAAGGAATTGGGAATAGAACCTGCGAAGTTGTTATAAGCAAATTCTATTATCTTCAGTTTAGAACAATTGGAGATGGAGTCCGGTATTGGTCCCCAGAAGTTATTCTCGGCGAGATAAAGCTCCTCTAAATTTGGAAAACCCATCCTTGGAAGATTGCCAGAAAGTTTGTTTCTTGAAAGACTGAAAATTCTTATCTGTGACAGATTAAAGATCTGCATTGGAATGAAACCAGTTAAGTTATTCACCAACAAGTAGAGTCGTTCCAAATTGCGTAGCTTGCTGATCTCTTGGGGTATTGCACCTACCAAATTACGGTACCAACATTAGCACAATAAAATTCTATATGAAGGCTTTGAATGCTTCTAAAGTAGCACCATTATAATTTTTTTCTTCATTTTTGATAATGGACGCCTAGTCTACCTGTTATGCTGTTGTAACCAACGTCAAGTTCTTTCAGCATAGTTAAATTAGCCATCTCTTTTGAAATTTCACCTGGAAGAAAAAAAAGTGTAGTATATAGAGATGTTAAGAAGATTCACATATGCCTTCTAAACTTGGAATGGAGTATAAAGAGTTCATACCTGTAAAGAGTTTTCTCCTTAAAACTTCTATTATGACACTTAAACTTGTGTTTATTTAATTTTTTTCTTGTCCCCGGGGGAGGGGGGGGGGGGAGGAAGAATTCATATTATTTCGCTCATGCAGAAATAGGATGTTACCTTCTAAACTGTTCCAGCTTAGATATAGCCGCTCAAGTGCCTTCAAAGTGCCAATTTTTTTTGGTATGAATCCAGTGAAGTAATTCGAAGAAAGGTCCAGCAATTGAAGTTGTGAACAGTTATGTGTGCTTGATGGTATTTGACCATTTAACTTGTTCCCTGACAGGTCAATCCACTTGAGTCTCTGAAGATGTTGACACATATTATCTGGAATGCTACCAGATAAACTATTATTCTGGAAGAAAATCGATTCCAGTGAGGAAATGTTGAAAATCTCTGTTGGAATATTTCCCTGGAGATAGTTGAATGACAGACCTAACGTTTCAAGCTTGGAAACATTAGCCAAGGAAGTTGAGATGAAGCCAGTGAAACTGTTGTTATTCAGAGACAACAGTCGAAGTTGATGTAAGGAACCAAACCACTCAGGAAACTCTCCATTGAGATTGTTGACATCTAAATCAAGCACTCTCAACCGGCGTAACCGAGCAAATTATTTCTGCTCAGGTTAAGGGAAACCAGAAATGACATATTTCCCAGCTGTGATGGTATGATGCCGCTAAGACTCATATTGGAAAGATCCAAGGCAATTACTCGACGGTGACGAGAGCCGCAAGTGACTCCTACCCACTGACATACAGGGGAAGAAACAGACCAGTTTTTCAACAGGATTTGATGAGGGCCCTGTGAGGTGATGCGAGCTCTCAACGCAAGAAGAGCATCTTGATCAGTGGT